TTCTGTTTTTGCTTGTTGAAGTCAAGGAGAGTACTTGCCCTTTGTTCTCAAGGCTCTCGGTGATTCTGTTTTTGCTTGTTGAAGTCAAGGAGAGTACTTGCCCTTTGTTCTCAAGGCTCTCGGTGATTCTGTTTTTGCTTGTTGAAGTCAAGGAGAGTACTTGCCCTTTGTTCACAAGCTGCCCTTTCCTTTTTTGGCTTGATTTCTCACCCAAACTTGAGCCTATACTTGGCCTCGGGGCAGAGGTGTCGGTTTGTGCATTCCGGGGTATACCGGGAATACGGTCCGACGCGGTTGTAAAAAAAGTTTGTACATCTAGTCAAGAAAACATGTGTTGTCTCCGGCACCCGATGAGTCAGCTGACAGCACAAGATGGCTGACAGCACAAGATGGCTGACCACACTGGAGTCCACTCCTACTGAAATCTGGGAGACGGACGCGTTTTCTTCCTGGGAAATCGAGATGGACACGGTTTTCTTCCTGGGAAATCGAGATGGACACGGTTTTCTTCCTGGGAAATTGAGATGGACACGGTTTTCTTCCTGGGAAATGGAGATGGACACAGTTTTCCCCCATTGTGTACGGTTTTCTTCCTGGAATTTGTCGGGTTTTTGGTTTGGAGAGGTTGCTCAAGTAGAAGGACAATAATATCTGGGATTTCTTTTCTTTTTCTTTTTCCGTTTACGACTGTTTTCTTTTTTGTTCCGTTTACGACTGTTTTCTTTTTTGACTGTTTTCTTTTTTGTTCCGTTCACGACTCACGACTGTTTTATTTTTTGATCGGTTTACGACTGTTTTCAGAAGAATGATGGGTTTAATTTCCCCCATTGTGTATGACTTACTGAGTACGAGTTATGTCTTTTTGACCTCCTTGACAGAAAAGAAACTTTTCCCCATCATGATTTTAAAGTAGCCTAATTTGTGGCAAAAGAGATGTATATAGCAGCCCAAATATGTGCCAACGAGAATGTTTTGTGTAAAAAAGAAAAAAATGACATGTTTTCTTTTCGCTTTTGTCCATATGTATGAAAGAGAGATGACTTTATGTCACAGAGATTTGCCACGCCCCAAAACTCCTCTTTGTCTATGGCTTGTAGGGAGATGCTGGACTTGTGGTAAGGTCCGACAAATGTGTGCAATGATCGTGCGTTAGCCTTAATTCTTTCATGTCCAAATATTGTAAGAAACTTGACCCACATCAATAGGCCTTAACACTTGAAACAAGTTGTTGGAGCCGTATATAGACTAGTGGCTAGTGTTTTGATCAGAAGATACTTTTTCCTATATAGAGAAATATTCCCATTGAACCAGATTTTGTATGCCGTATTTTTATCTCTGTGCAGCTGGGTAGGAGTAATGCCTTGATGGAGGTGCGTGTTGTCATTGTCACAAGCGATCGGAAAAAAACCGGGGCACTTTTCTGCCAGTTTGGCAATTTCTTTCCAATGTTTGTTTTTTTGGCTCAACACCTTCTCTGTACTTAAAAAAAAACAAACCATTTTGTGGTGAATTTTACTCCAAACACATCAGTCAAAACGTGCTAAACGTAACGTTCCAGTTTCCAAGAACTCTCCAAGGACTGTCAAACTATGGAAGTTAACTCAAGGATTAGTTCCGTTTAGTTATTTTGTTTTCGATTTTTGGCAGTCAAATATGGAAGGCGTTGAAATTAGTTTAGAAAATGTATTTCTCCAAACCCGAGGTGATTGAGGAAATTCACAAACACAGACGGTGTCCACTCGCACAATGACCTTCATGATTGGGATCGAGAGTTTTCCCATCAAGCAGAACGTGATTACAGATAGATGTAGAAACAATTCTCGTTGATTGAGGAGGAATGGGGAACTGAGAGTCGCGTGTGAGGCCGGCCCGTAGGTGTTGAAACTGTTGGCAGGATGCTGAGAATGTTTCAGAATACATATGGGTCTGACAGGGTCATATCTAATTGTGAAATGTGTGCGGCCTTGTAGAGTGCGCTCTTTGTTAATGGAATCTAATTTTATTATTATTATTATCATTACTGATATTATTATTATTTTCATCATTTATTGAACAATTGTTCCTGGTGCCAAATTGGTGCCAAAATTAGAAAATGGCGTTTTGTCAGTTTACGGTAGTATTGATGAGGACGGGTGGTTGGAAGGGGGGGGGGGGA